GAGTCTCCCGTGAACACCTGCCAGATCGACCAATAGGCATCAGGTGCTGCTGGCGACTGCAAGGGAGTACGAAGAGCACACCTGAGGGACAGATCTGGCCCACTTCGGCCTACTGGGGATCTCGTCGACTCACGGACAGGGCCGGTACGGTTGTCCGAGCTGCGGAGGTGCGTATGGGGAGGATGTGGAAGAGGTTGACGGGGAAGGAGAGACAGGAGGCAGAGACAGGAGGCGGCGCTCGTGGGCGGGAAACACATCCAGATCCACGGCTTCGCGGTCCAGACTCCTCGGCCGCGCCCCCCTGGATACAGGGCGGCGTTGCGCGGATGCCCCGCTCAGAGCGTATCCATAGGATCGCGTATCCACGGGTTCGCACCTCGACGTTCATCGCGAGGGCATGGATGTGGATATGGTCACCGCTCATGAAATCTTCTGGGCACTGCAAGGATGCATCAAGCAAGTGATGGCGAGGAGGTTGACAGCAACTCCCTAACGGCCGCGCAGCAGCGAGGCAACACGGAGCCAGGGGAGAGCGTCGCGATTGTGATGCATGCCTGTATTTCGGCAAGAGTTTGCAGTCTGATTCACATATAAAGTGCATATTGATTGCCGCAATACGCATTTCGAAGTGTATGACGATGTTCGATGTGCAGTTCAATATGTAGATCGATGTGCAGTTTGCAGTACAGTTCGATGTGCAGTTCAATGTGTATGGTGATGTGGTTTTTAATATTATATCGAATGTACTCCGATCTGCAATTCTGCTTGCACGTCGACTTGAATGTCGATGTGCAGTTCGAATGCCATTTCGATGTTCGTACCCCCCAAGATGTAGGGCTCCGAAGCAGCCCAAGGATGCTTGAAGACTCCCACGATGGCGCCAGGACGGACCAAGTGGCCCAAAACACCCCAAGAGAGCTCCGAGTTGAACAGGTGCTCGAGCCTCGGAGTTGACGAGGAGCATCAAAGGCGGTCACGTGCGAACTGACCAATAATTAGTTGCACCACGTAAACTGCACAACACAGATTGCACCACATAGACTGCGCATGAGGACTGCAGGAGCATACTGTTTGAACCCACGCTGGCTAACACCGATTTGACCTATACATGTGCAACCCCATTCGTATTACTATTTCGACTCCGATTTGCACTTCAAGGGTCATTAGAACTTGCATTTTGATCTGAATCTTAATTTGAAGATTATTGGCAAATTGATTCGCATGTCCCACGGGCCAACTACGAGAATTGTCGCATGCCGACTTGCGGGACAACCAGTGGACAATCCACGGGAAAGCCCATGGGACACCCTCCCCTAAACAACCAGGGCACGACCCATGGGACAATCCAAGGAACGATCATGCGCGGACCAACCACGGGAAGACGCACAAAACAACCACGAGGCAACTTTACGGAACAACACACGCGACAACCTACAGGACAACCACCGGACAACGCACAAGCCAACTACGGGACACCCCACGGGACAGCTCACGGGGACAACCGCCGGACGACGCACCAAGCAACTGTGGGACAACCGCGGGACAACCCACGGGACAACCCCCTGGACAACCACGGGGCAACCACGCGACAGCCCACGGGAGAACCCACGGGACAGCCCACGGGACAACCAAGGGACGACGCACAAGACAGCGAGGGGGCAACCTGCGAAACGACCACGAGACAATCACGGGAACCTGATACTTGTTCGGACCCTCGCGAGACGGAGACCGAAACTTGTTGCCCGACTTGGCCCTGGCCTAGCCTCATCCTGCAAACCTCGCCCGAACGAAAGGAACAAGAAGCGACACCGATGTCCTGGTTGTGGTCACTGCGTTCTCACCCACGAAATCCGACACTGTAGCGAGAAAGACACGAGTGCTGGAGGAAATGGGTCATGCGACTTCCCCCGTTTTCAAGACCCCAGGGCCCTCCACAGGACTGCAGTAAAGCAAATACTCAGGATAGAAAACACGGTCGTGAGAAAAACTCCTGCGTCAAGAACCCGTTCCCATCAGGACCCCTCCTCTCCATGGCGCTTGCAGAAATTGCCCAAACAGTGCCTGCACCAAGGATTCAGCATACATCTCTACACCTTTCGACACACCTCAAGATGAGACTCAAAAGGTCGCCAGGCAAACCGGGAACGCCACACAAGCCGACCTAGAGAAGCACCTGCAGTGAAGCGAAACCTGAAAAAGCGGTTGAGTGCGCTGCATGTTAAGATACCACGAGGCCCAAACAGCTAACGATATTACACACGTCGAACGACGAGAGGGGACGAGAGGGAGAGGGAGGAGGATCTCAATCGACAATATCCAACAATTCGCATCCTGCTGCATAGAGACGCCCAATGAGCTCGTTCGATAGGCTTCAAGCCATGACCGTCAGAACAGCAAGCGAGAATAACGATTTAAAATTCTGCTGCCTCTCTTCGCCAAGGGAGATGGCGCAACAGAGAAAGAGTAGCGCCGTGCTTTACACGTAGCGCTGTATAGTCCGAGACAGTACCAAAATGTCGGAAGAAGGAAGCAGAAACACGAAGTAGGAAGGTGTCGAAAACAGATTGGGTGTCCGCCCGCCCCCTGAGGAGGACGGAACAGGCGAAGCCGCTCGACCACTGAAGTAGGCAGACGCGTAATAAAACAAACTGGGATATGGGAGGCCAAGAACACCTACTTTCAACGACCGATGAGACGTCACCCTTGACTAGTGCTCATCGCTCCAGCCACGGCCATCGCTGAACACAACCATCCGAGCTGACACTGTTGGGGCCCTCGGACCCTTCCCCGGCAGGAGGGGCGAGGCGTGGCACTGGCGGCGCCCGTGGTCCATAGGCGCGCCGCGTGTGGGTCCTGGAGGAATTGGCCGCTGGGGCATTTGCGTGACGGACACAGTTGAAGGGGAACTGAGACACACACACATAAATGCACACAAATAAAAATCTCCTCCATATTTTCCTATATTTTCTGGGTTTCTGTCTTCCCCCCCACTTCCCATATTTTCCCATATTTTCTGGGAATCGCCGATGAATTGTGTCTGTGTGCTGTTTCCCCTCCTGAACATTGACGTTACGGGGGGGTCGCTCACGGTGCCAGCGTAGCACTGTGCGTCGCAAGGCGGCGCAGAGAGCACTCCGGAGGTGCAGGAAGCTTATAGGACACGGTCGCTGACGCTGCGCAGGCTGCCGCTGCTCCGGCGGTAGAGGAAGACGTGCACCGACCTCATTAGGCACTTGTCTGGGGCCTTGGAATACCTGGCGTTTTTGGTGCCAGGTGCCAGGTGCATGTCGAGTCCAGAACGGTCATCGGGCATCGCCACCAGTCGGCAGTGGTGGCGGTCCTGGCTGGCTGCGCTGGCCCTGATGGAGGTTCTACACCACACGCTGCTGCTGGCGGATTGTCCCGACGATCTGGGGGGTGGCGTTCTTGTTGGGCGCGTCCCTTCATATCACCGGTTTCCACCCAATGCCCGCCGCCACCGCGCCCCTCACAGCCGGGGCTGAGTTTGCTCGACCAGTGGTGCCTAACGTGGGGATATGGGTGATTGCAGCGCTGAATTTCACAGCAGCCCCACTGGAGAGCTTCCTCTGGAAGGGGTCGCCCCATGGTCCCCCGGGGGAGGGGCCTGCTCTTCGAGCTCCCCTGGCGGCAATCGCTCCGACTGGCCATCGCTCGGACGTCCATTCCCTGTTTGTTTTGGTTTCGTGTGTGGTTTCTTCGCCAAATGATCAAGGATGCTCCTCGCCGAAGGAAAAATGCACACGTCCGAGCGATGCCAAGCCCGGGGAAGCGGCGACGCACCGCGGCGGTGGTCACGGCCCCTGCGCGGCCCCGAGGAAGGCCTGCACTCCGAAGAACACCAAGTGGCACTGTCCGCGACGCCGCCGGTGCGGCCACCCACCCGTGGCCGCGTGAGCACTCGGGGGCCTGCCCGCTTCGAGCCTGGCTGGGGCCCGGCCCTCCCCGTCGCCCGTTCATCCGCCCCTCTCCTCTCTTGCCCTCCCTTTCCTGCCCTTTGCCCTGCCTGTCCCTCCTCGCCTCCACTCTTCGTCATCGTCGTCGCCGCTCTCTGCGTGGTCGTCGTCGTCGTGGTCGTGGTCGTGGCGGTGGTCGCGGTCAGTTTTCATGGTCGTAGTCGGTGGTCGTGGTCGGGGTCGTGGTGGTCGTCGTCGTCGCCGTCGTCGTCGCCGCCGTCGTGGTCGCCGTCGTGGTCGCCGTCGTGGACGTCGTCGTCCCTGCTGTCGTCGTCGTCTTCGTCGTCGTCGTCGTCGTCGTCGTCGTCGTCTTCGTCGTCATCGACGTCGCTGTCGTCCTCGTCGTCGTCATTGAACCACGGGGGCCTCCCATGGACTGCTGGGCGGCCCGGCGGCCTCGTAGAGAGGCCAGCACGCCACGGCGCGGCGCGGGCACGGGCGCGGCGTGCCGGGCTCCGCGGAAAAACTCGGAGGCGGCAGCGCCCGGCTTCCGGCACCGGAGGAACTAAGAGCTGCAGAAGCACCAGAGGGACTAAAATCAAATCGGGCCTGTCACTCTACAGGGGGAATACTCCAACATAGTCAGAAAATGGTCTGGGGACTGTTTTTCCAGCATGTTTTGGCAATTTTCGGGCATGTTTCGCATGTTTTCAATTTCTCCTGGGCAATCGGCCTGTAGGGGGACAGGCCCGACCTAAGACTAAGAGCCATTTTGGCTCAAGGGTGTCGAGAAGGAAGTCCCTCGAACGAAGCACGCTCGACCGAGCTGGGCGCACCCAGAACACGGCGAGAAAGTCTGATATCGTGCAGTTGAATCTTTGACTGACAGCTGCCTAGGCGTGACCTCTCGGAGGTCCACGCGGGGCTCTCGGATCGCCGCTGGGCCCCCACCCCCGGGCGCGCGGAGCGCGCCAGGGGCGGCGCCAGAGGCGCCGCCCGGGGGGGTCCAGCGCCGATCCGAGAAATCCGAGCGGACCTCCGAAAGTTCATGCCCGGGCAGCTTTTTTTTGCTCTTCGGAGCACGCCTCACAAAACCACCCGCATAGACTTGCTGGACTTTGCGCACCGGGGCGTCTCCCGCCGACCGTCGAGCAGCCGCAGCTCGCCCATCAGATCGTGGACGCCCTGCCGCGGCTCGTCCTGCCGCGAGGCCCTCCTGCCACCGCGAAGCAGCCGCAGCTCGCCCACGAGCTCGTGGACTTCACCCAGCTGGCTCCGCTGCTGCCGGAGCAGGGAAAGTATCTGCATGGTCTCGAACGGCACGTTGGACAGCGCGAGCTTGCAGGCGCCCTCGATGAACTCCACCGCCGCCACCTTTAGAGGCCTCCTGAATGGGGTCGGAGTAGATGGGTCGGAGGATCGCACCGCATCGCCGATGCATCGGCGATGCATCGTGGATGCACCATCGACGCATCGTCGACGTCGTCGATGCATCGCCGACGTCGATTTGAAGCAGATCGGGCTCCGCATCGAGCCGCATCGTTGATGCACTGGCGATGCGGCGCAATCCTCCGACCCCATCTACTCCGACCCCATCTAGGAGGCCTAGAACCTTGCCGTCCTTGTCCTGGTCAAGGTAATCGAAAAGGTCCCTTAACGTCTCCCCCTGCAGCAACGGGTGCAGGCTTGGTGGTAAGTGGATGCCCTTGACCGCGGAAATTTCCTTCAACCGCTCCAGCTCATCCCTGTCCAGCTCGCCGTCCTGGGTGACGTCCATCTCCTGGAACGCCCGGTCGACCTGCGGTATCATCTGCTCCACTTGCTTGATGATGCGGTATCGTTGCATATCGAGGTCCTCTCTGCCGGTCTTTATGGCACTTTCGACAACAGCCGCCGTGACGAGGTTCATCAGCAGAATGGTAACTACCCCGATCAGCATGAAGAAGAAAATGCCAACTACGGGATGCTCAAGGATTAGTGGGTTGTAGATCGCCCCAATGGAGTCAGCGTTGACAAACTGTATCATCGTGACCATCACGTGGCCAAGAGAGCTGAAATGTTTGTCCACGATCTCTCTTGTAACAGGGTTTGCTTGCAGTCTCTCCGACTTCGCAACCAGCTCGAGCGCAGCACATGCAAAAATGTACGCCACCATGGTCACGAGCACAGCCGCCGACGTCACTGTTCGCGCTGACTTCATGAGGCCAACGCACAATTTCCAAAGATCCTGGAAGAGCTCTATCATCCGCACAGCTCGCACGAGGCGCACCAAGCGAAGATTCCGAACCAAAGGCGCCTGCTGTAGAATTTCTATCGCGCCAGACCTCTCGCCAGAAATGACATAGTCTGTAAGAACGGTGGCCAATCCTCCGACGGCCACCATAGTGAAATCGAACAAAAACCACATATTTCGAAACGTAGCCCAGCCATCCGCGATAAATCGCAGCAGAAGTTCCAGAGTGTAGATGGCCAAGAAGAACATCTCCAAGGAAGCCAGGGTCGACTCCTGGTCCTCCCGCTCGTGCCCATGGACGGCTCGCCCCATCGAAAGCTCAATCTCCAGGCCTATGCATATCCGCCGACCCCTTGTGGGTCTCTAGGCGTGTGAGATAGTTCCCCCCCCTAACCCCCCCCATGGGACCCCAAACCGACGATTCGACCCCCCCCCCCGGGCCCGGCCCGAGCGAACCACGGGCTCTGTTGGACCCACAAGGGGCTCAAGATGGGCCAAGAAGGCCCCAAGACGTCTCCAAGACGGCCCACGAAGGCCCCGAGACGCAAAACGAGCGCTCCAAGACGCCCAAGATGGCCCCAAGACGAGCCAAGAGGCCTCCAAGACGGCCCAAGAGGCCTCCAAGAACAGTCCTCAGAAGGGCCGAAGAGCCGAAAATCATCAAATTCCTATGGGAAAACGTACATCTTCATCATATACGACTTGTCGGCCTTTACGGCGTTGAAGACGGTCCAAGAGCACCCCAACACCGCCCTAAGACGGCCCAAGAGGCCCCCAAGAGGCGCCCAAGTCGGCCTAAGAGGGCGCCAAGACGGCCCAAGAGGCCCCCAAGACGGCCCAAGAGGGCCCCAAGACGGCCCCCCAAGAGGGGCCCAAGAGGGGGAGCTTCAACCGACAATCCGAGCCTTCCGCCCCAAGACGGCCCAAACGAGCGCTCCAAGACGCCCAAGATGGCCCCAAGACGAGCCAAGAGGCCTCGAAGACGGCCCAAGAGGCCTCCAAGAACAGTCCTCAGAAGGGCCGAAGAGCCGAAAATCATCAAATTCCCGTGGAAAACATACATCTTCATCAAATACGACTTGTCGACCTTTACGGCGTTGAAGACGGTCCAAGAGCACCCCAAGACCGCCCCAAGACGGCCAAAGAGGCCCCCAAGAGGCGCCCAAGTCGGCCCAAGAGGGCGCCAAGGCGGCCCAAGAGGCCCCCAAGACGGCCCAAGAGGGCCCCAAGACGGCCCCAAGAAGGGCCCAAAAGAGGGAGCTTCAACCAACAATCCGAGCCTTCCGCCCCAAGACGGCCCAAACGAGCGCTCCAAGACGCCCAAGATGGCCCCAAGACGAGCCAAGAGGCCTCCAAGACGGCCCAAGAGGCCTCCAAGAACAGCCCACTACTACTACTTCTACCACTACTATTACGACTACTACTACTACTGCTGCCGCTGCTGCTGCTGCTGCTACTACTACTACTACTACTATTACTACTACTACTACTACTATTACTACTACTACTACTACTACTACTACTACTACTACTACTACTACTACTACTACTACTACTACTTACTACTTACTACTACTACTACTACTACTACTACTACTACTACTACTACTACTACTACTACTACTACTACTACTACTACTACACTACCTATACTACCTACTACTACTTCTACTACTGATACTACTACTACTACTACTACTACTACTACTACTACTACACCGGATACTACTACGATTAACGACTACGACAACTTACTACTACTACTACTACAATACTAGTACTACTAGCTAACTATACTGTATACACTAATACGAAAACGACTACGACACTCACCGCCCTACGACTACGATCAAAGGGACTACAGACTCTACGACTACGACTCTCGCTCACTATACTACTACTAATACGCACTACTAATGACTACTAGTACTAAGTACTAGTACTAGTACTAGTTTTACTTCGTACTAGTACTAGTACTAGTACTAGTACTAGTACTAGTACTACTACTACTACTACTACTACTACTACTACTACTACTACTACCAATATTGCTGATACGACTGCTTCGATCGTTTTTTCGACAGAAAAGCTGTGAGGCACCTTCCGAATTTAACAAATTCAATTCACTTTCAAAAATAATTCCACGAGAAGTCGACTGCCACCAAGCCCTGCTCCTCCTCCTCCCCCTCCTTCTCCTCTTCCTCCTCCTCACGACCACACGCTGCACGCAACATTGCAGGATAATGGTGCCGACACTGCATGCGACCCCAGAGAAACCACAACGCTTTTCGAACAAAGGGGTCGGCGGATGTGGCGCACGCCTATAGAATAGAGTTCGCGACAATGATGCAGCCGATGAAGGCCTCAAAGGCTGTCTGATGATCCTTGACAAGCCAGGAAACCATGCGTCGAACATTTCCCGTTGGCTGTTACAGGAACAAACAGTAACACAAACCTACCGTTTTTCGGAGGTCCGCGTGGATTTCTTGAATCGGCGCTGGACCCCCGTCCATGGCGCACGGAGCGCGCCGAGTCGCCAGGGGGGCCCAGCACCGACCCCAGAAACCCGCGCGGATCTCCGAGAAATTATGTCTATGCCATGTTTCGTTCTTCGAGGCTCGACGCTGAGCTCCTCAGTCTTGTGCAGGCCCTGCGAGAAGTACAGGTGCTGCTTGATGCTCTCCTGCGCGCTCTGGATCAGCCGAGGAGGCGTAGCGCTCCGCCCCGACTGCTCGTCGGACATCACCGAACAATGCTCTTCTGCTGACCCCATAGAACACCTGTCCTCAACGTTGGTGGGGTCGTCGGACGCCTCAAAGGCAGGACAGGGACATAACCGGACCGATATGGACCAAAAATCTCTGAACTCCGGCGGCTCTGGAGGATGTATCGGGCGCCGCGGCCTTCTCGGAGCGTTCCGGACTGGTCTGGGAGCGTTCCGGAACGCTGAAGAACGGGGTAATACAACAGGTACCGATACCGCAGCTCCCCGGACCTTTCCCCGCGGTGCGTTCTGACAAGGGTTTCGAGGCGAATCCAGCGGTGGCGACGAGGGCCTCCCACGAGGCCCACAAAGGCGACAATAAGGCAATGGTAGCAGTATGAATACCTTGTCCACCTCTGCGGAACGAGTTATCCCTGTCCCCGTGGATGGACAAAAAGTGTCAGAGCCGATCGCACGAAGACAACGCGACGACGAAGCGCATCCCAAAGCTATCAAAAACTCGGTACCCGTCGGTCGGAAGAAGTAGGTAGAAACATGAAGTAGGAAGGTGGATATAGTAGATTGGGTCCAGGCTCTCCCAGAGAAAAACAAAACAGAGCAAGAGCATGTTGATTCTTGAAGTAGGAAGGCGCTTGAAGTAGATTGGGATCTGGGAATCCAAAAATACCTACTTTCAACGACCGGCGTGTATCCCTCTCCCCCCGAACCAAAAGTTGGCTGCGGTGAGCGCAAAAGGCGACGCGCGAAGGACAACATGTGGACCATTGAGCTTTGCGCTCGGGCGGGAGGGGGGCGGGACAGACGTCAGACAATATTAGAGGCCTCCTAGATGGGGTCGGAGTAGATGGGGCTGGAGGATCACGCCGCATCGCCGATACATCGGCGATGCATCGGCGATGCATCGTCGATGCACCAGCGATGCATCGTCGACGTCGACGGTGCATCGGCAACGTCGGCGTGAAGCAAATCGGGCTCCGCATCGAGCAGCCTCGTCGATGCATCGGCGATGCGGCGCGATCCTCCGACCCCATCTACTCCGACCCCATCCAGGAGGCCTAGAAATATGCCAGTCAACATCACGTGATCTGATCTTCGTGCTATGTGTGTGGGCACTTTCTGCCCGGCCGCTGCAGCCCCGCCCGAGCCTCAGGTGCAGGAGCACGGACCCTTCAGTGACGCACGCACTCCTGATCTTCGTTCCAGTTGAGTGACAGCATTGCTCTGGGGCGCTTCGTGCTGGGACACAGCTGAACAGACCCAGACACGAAAGCGGCACAGCACTGGAACGACAAAGGAAAGAGGCTGGAACGAAACGAGAAGGCCCCGCGGCTCTCAGAGAGGAATATGGAACGACGGTGAAACGAAGACTCGGAGAAGACAATACTCCTACCTCGGAAATCCCTGGGGAAACCAAAAGGTACCGATACCCGATACCCCTACTCCCCGGACCTCTCCCAGGGTGCGCTCTGACCAGGATTTCGAGACGCATCCAGCGGCGGCGACGAGGGCCTCCCAGGAGGCCCCCGCAAACAAAAAGGAGAGCGGCCGCAGCGCGGCGGGGTGGGTGCAGTTTCCTCCTCTGGCGAAGGTCCTGAGACCTTACTTCACGGGCGAAGGACGAGATAAAATCAACTTTCTCGCTGTCGGGGGCGCCTGTCCCTGGGCGGCTGGAAAGCTTATACCCTTACGGTGGCACCGTAGGGGTATAAACTTTCCAGCCGCCCAGGGACAGGCGCCCCCGACAGCGAAAAAGTTTATGTTATACCGTTCTCCGCTCGCTGACTTACACCCAACGAGCCTGGCCGCTGGAGACGTGGCGCCCCGGACGGCCCCGCGACGGGCCCTCGCCGCCGCCTCCCCGCGCGGCCGCCGCCGCGGCGGGAGGCGCGCCCGCTGCCCTGGCCCGGGGCGCGGCGGGCGCCCGCTCCTGGGGATATCCACGCCGGGGGGGAGGCCGCCACGAGCCAGGCCGGAGTGGCAAGGACGTGGGCGAGGGGGGGGGGGGCAGATGCCCTGACCTTCCAGGAGGGCAGCAAAAATAGCACCAGGACGTCAACGTCCTAGCTCCTGTCGAGGTTTGAGGCAGTCCAGATAGATCTATAGGTCTGGAGTGTTATTTTTTAGCGCTCTGGAAGGTCAGGGGATGGACTCCCCCTGGAGCCGATTTCCCCCTCCCCCCCGGCCATCGCTGCCCCGGGCTCGAGGAAGTGCCACTTCCCTTGGGGCAGCCGGCCCCCAAACTGGCACTCTGGAGAGAGCCGCTGGTGTCCGTTCCACGGGAGCCTGCGTGGCCCCCGGCGCTGTCCAAGTTGGGCCTGACTTGGACCTGATTTGGAACAAACTTCTACCAGATTTGGACCAGATTTGGAGCGGATTCGCGGGGACTAGAGGAACGAGGAGGAGGAGGGGGAACAGGAGGGGAGAGGAGGAGCAGGAGGATGCGCCAAATGCGGCCCCTGTGCGGCCCCAATACAGGAAGAGCTGATCTCGGTGTCGCCGCCTTCAAGGCTCCCAGGAACAGACATCGAGAGAGCCTCTTCTGGGGGGCCACATGCGAACCCTATACCCCGCCCTCCCCCTCAGAAGTCGTGGGGGGTAGGGGTAGGGTTCGCATGTGGCCCCCTACCTTCTTAAAACCGACCCCCAAAAAACGTCCGCCACCGACGATGACGACGACGCCGACGAGGACGAGGACGACGACGACGAGGACGACGACGACGACGCCGACGAGGACGAGGACGAGGACGACGACGACGACGACGAGGACGACGACGAGGACGACGACGACGACGAGGACAACGACGACGACGCGAGGACGAGCGCGGGCGCCGCCGCGTGAACACGACCCCTGGTCATTTATGAATCGTCATCCTCCATTTATGCTGTTCCCATCCTACTTAAATCGGGGATGGACAGACCCCCCTTTAGCAAAACGTGGTTTCGAGAAAACGACTCGAGGCCCAAACCTGGCGGGCGCAGGCCTGGAACAAATAACGGCCACGGCGCCTGGAGCCCGGGTGCCCCGAGGAGGCAGCCGTGGGCCCCCTCGTGCGAGCGACCAAAAAGCAGGGAGGAGGAGGAGGGGGAGAGGGAAGAGGAGGAGGAGGAGGAGGAGGAGGAAGAGGAGGAGGGGGAGGAGGAGGAGGAGGAGGAGGGAGACCCTTGGAAGCCGAGGTTGGGATTTTTGGGGCGGCGGACGACGAAAACCTCAAGGACGCAAGAGCAAGGAGGAGCAAGGACGCAAGGGTGCCCTGAACAGAGTCGCGCGTCCTTATTTGGGTTTTTGACTGTATGCTGTTCCCATCCTGCTTCAGGACCACATCCCAGAAATAATTCCGAGCACCCCGAAAAGTGTCAAAGGAGTGTCGAAACAGTGTCGAAGCAGTGTCGGGCGAGTGCCTCCCAGGGCCCGACACGTGACAACCCTTGAGTTTCGGTACTTTTTTTGGCGCTCAAAATTCTTTCTGGTGATCAAGGCTAAGGTAGGTTGGAACATCATATGACCAGACTCTATACACTTACGTTTTCTAATTACGGCCCCGCACCGAAATTCGCACAAGAAAGCGGATCCTGGTGTATACAGGATTCCTGGTAATTACATGTTTCGCAACTTCCCTGAAAAAGCGGTGGAAATTGTATACACCACACCACTCCGACGTCGTCCCCGACTATCAAAAAGTTCTGGGGATTGAGAAACAGCCCGCCACTGGTAATATACATATGCCAGCTTCCGACAAAAAAAGACCCCTAACCTGAGGTCGGGCATGTCCTCATGCAGGCGGATTTTGGGCGACAGATTTGAAAATAGTCACAAGCGGCGGTGGACAAACCTCCGTTAGTAGACCACCCTCTAGTGAAAACGGCCTGGGACCGAAACCGACGCACCTGGACCCGCAGAAATGACGGCCGCGGCGCCCTCTCGCGAACCGAAAAACGGCCAATTCCTTAATATCGTGTCAGGGTGGGGGTCTGTCCACCCCCGACAAAAAATACCACTAACCTGAGGTCGGGCATGTCCTCCTACAGGCGGATTTTGGACGGAAACTTTTCAAATAGTCCAAACATGCTCAAAAATATTCAAACATACTCCAAAAATCGTCCCCATACTATTTGTCGACTATTCTTGAATATTCCTCCTGTAGAGGGACATCACCCTAACCCCTTGGAAGGGGACCCAAGCAAGGAGGCCCAAAAGAACATGAGGGATGGAGGGCCTTTGTCTTCTGCAGGTGCACCGAACCAAACAGCCCAGATTCTTGTGATCCCTACAGTCGAGGCGTTGACCTAAGGAACCCTAAATAAGGAACGAGGCCCCTTTTTCCATAAGTTGAACTTCGATTTCCTATCGAAAACCTAAGGATAACCTGAGACAAGCTGTGAAACAATCAAGGAACACGGAGCCCCTCCCCAACGAAAAGGGTTCCTTCTTCAGGGCCCCGACCGTACTGCAAAGACGGGGACCTGAGCGAGGCCTCGCCTTCATCGTGTTAAACAGGGTGATGGGTTCCTGGGTTCTCGATGATCATGGAGGAACAGAACACCTCGCCATCGCTCGGACGTCCATTCCCAGTGCTTTTTTCGGTTTCGTGCGTGGTTTTTTCGCCAAATGATCAAGGATGCTCCTCGATGCTCCTCGCCGAGGGAAAAATGCACACGTCCGAGCGATGCCGAGACACGGCATAGACGTCCTTCGGAGGTCCGCGCGGAAATCTCGGATCTGCGCTGGCCCTTCCCTAGCGGCGCCTCCGACGCCGTCCCCTGGCGCTTCGATCCAAAACATCCGCGCCGGACCCCGCGATAGGCTGTACCGCAACTCCCCCAACAGGATAGCGAGGCAACGGTAGCGGCATTGACGAACGGACAACACTGAAGGGGCCCCAGGACACACAAATAAATACACACAAATAAAGAGATTCCCCATAGTTTCCCATATTTTCGGAGTTTCTGTCTTCCCCCCTACTTCCCATATTTTTTAATAATTTCTGTGGAATCGAAGATTAAGTGTGTCTGTGTGTTTCTTTCACTCCTGAAACACACACCCATACCCATGGGGGGATCGGCGGGAGGAGGACTTGCTATGGGTATGGGTGCGGGTTGTCGGACCGCGCGGAGGAGGCTCCCGCTCGAGCGGGGACCCCCATCGGACAACACGCACCCACAGCCCCCTCCGTCCTCCCTATGGGTATGGGTGTGTGTGTGTGTGTGTGTTGTTCGTTCGTCAGGTATGGGTACCTGTTCCTCCTCTGACCCATTTAGGGGATCGAACTCTATACACCGACGCTTGTTCTGGCCCTGCATTGGAACTTGCACTGGAGAGCGGATCCTGGTGTACACGGGACCCTGGTGCATAGATGTTTCGCTGTTCCCCCGGGACATCGGGGACAAAAGTATACACCACACCACGCCAGCGTCGTCCTCGACCCTCAAGAAGTCCTGGGATTGAAAGACAGCCCGCCACTGGTAATGTATACCCATCGGTCGGAAGAAGTAGGTAGACACATGAAGTAGGAAGGCGGATCAGGTAGATTGGGCTCTGGAAAATCCAAAAAATTGAAGGGGCCCTGGGACACACAAATAAATCCACACAAATAGCAGGATTCCCAATATTGTCCCATCTGTTCTGCGTAGTTGTCTTCCCCCCATACTTCCCATCGTTTCCCATATTTTCTTGTTCTGGGGAATCGACGATTCATTGTGTCTGTGTGTTTTTCCCCCTCCTGAAAAAGACCTGCCTGCAACGACCGATGGCCACGCTCCGGTATCCGACCCTTGGCACTGCCCGATCTCCCTCTTCTTCTTCTGCCTCGGGGAGCCGGCCCGCGGCGCGCCTGGGGGGGGGGGAAATGAGACGGAGAAGGCCTCCTTCGAGGAGGCGGCGAGGCATCTCGGAAGCCCTCCGACCCTCGGAAACGTTTTTTTCCTGTGCTTCGGCGATGGACAGACCTCCCTCTAGCAAACCACGCTCCAGTGAAAACGGCCTGGGACCGAAACCGGCGCACCTGGACCCGCAGAAATGACGGCCGCGGCGCCCCGTCGCGAACCGAAAACGGCCAATTCGCTAATCGACGTGTCAGGGTAGGAGTTCCATCAACCTCCGAGTGCTTCGGGGAAGGCTCAGGACACTTCTCACGGGCCCGAGGCCTCAGGCTTTCCGAGAAGGCCTTCCCCCTGGCCCCGGCCGGCGTTTCAGAAATCTGGCGAGCATGGGCCCGGGAGCCCATCAGAAGACCTTCTACGCACCCAGCTATGCACATTGATAAGCTACGGCCCCTCAGCTTCTCACTCCCTCCCCCAGGATTAGGACGAAGCTAGGGCGAGGATAACATCGAGTGAGGGTGAATTGGCGATCTCTGAGACCCGGCGGTTCTGGATGATGCCTCGGGCGCCGCGGCCCTCTCAGAGCGGAACGCTCTGGAACTGGAGCAACCGAAAAGTACCGGTACCGCTACTCCCTGGACCTCTCCCGGGGTGCGCTCTGACCAGGGTTTCGAAGCGAATCCCGCGGTGGCGACGAGGGCCCCCCCAGGAGGCCCTGGAAGGCGGAAGGGAGGGAAGGGCAGCTGCATCGGCGCCATGTCCTCCAGTGGGGGCACGCTCTATCCTCGTCCGCGCCCCGTCCGAAAGTTCGCCGCCGAGCCTGGCGCCAGCCACGCGCCGATGTCCGAGACGGAACCGACGGGCACATGCTTCGAGGCCTCGAGGGTCTGTTGCAGCTCGCCCAAGGGCGGCAGCAGCGCCTCCAGCAAGCGGTCCAGGCCCCCCCGCAGCTCCTACCGGGCATCTGCTACTGGAGGGGCCCAGGGACGCACAGCTGAATATACTTTTTTGGACCTGCGGGGCGAGAGCGAACCTCTTCCGCTGAAAGCTCAGCGGGACGCGCACAGCTTTAATTAGCAGAGGAAGGGCGAGAGAAGGCGGAGACTCACGGCGGCCGGGAGACGGCGAAGCCCTGGGATCAGGCGGTGCCGAAGATGATGTGCAGGAAAAGGTACACCTTGGACAGGAGCCCGGTGGCGAAGTCCGGGTAGCACAGCTAAGTATACACAGCCGCCATGATTCCCCAAATGTTCCTTTAGCTTCTGGGTTTTCGTCCTCGCCCCATTCCCATGTTGTCCCACCTTTTCCTCGGAGTCGACGATTCTAGTCTGTCTGCGCTTTTTCCCCTCCTGAGTTCTGTTAGCGGGCGAAGAGCGGTGTCACATCAATTTTTCCGCCATCGGGTGCGCATACCCCAGGGAGGCTGGGAGCTCGTGCCCCGACGGGCCACCGCAGGGGTCGAAACTCTCCAACCGCCCTGGGGCAGGCGTCCCCGACGGCGGACAAGCTTGTTTCACCTGCCCTGGCACCCCCCTGTCGGTGCCCTTCCTTCCCACGCCGAGGTTCGGTGTCTGGCCCCACCGGGCGCAGGGGACCGCCGCCGTCGGCGCCCGCGGAGGCCACGCTGCCTCGGGGGCGCGCCCTCGGTCCCCCCACAAAACGGAGAGCAAGACCACCGTGGGCCCGAGTGGCCGCGAGGGGCCACGCCACGTCGTCGGAAAAAGGGCATGCTCGCCCCCCGCCCCGGCCTGGAGCCCGCCGCCACCGAAGGGCGTGTTCCCCGAGGTCGAGACCCCGCGCCAAGGAAGACCTCATGGAACCCCACTGGGCAGCGGAGTCCAAGCCAAGAGGGGGGAGGGGGAGGGGCAGGCTCTTCCATGCACCCCCTTCACTGTGTCCCATCTCCTCTCGGTAGTTCGTCAAAGATGGCGGGGGGGGGGGGGGCGCCCCTGAATTGAGCAGGAAGCCTCGCTCCTCATTATTGGTGCATCTCCTGGGGGGGTGGGGGGGAATCATGCCACATCAGGATGCAAGTGCTGAGCCAAAAAAGGCAGACAGCCCTTGATGGCATGACGTTAAGCACGCTTGCAACATCACGTGGACACCTTCGGCGATGCATATACGCGCAGTCTGCGTGTCTCGCCAGCGTGCCACCTGAAGACAGGGCAGCGTCTCCTCGCGCACTCCGAAATAAATGGTGGGTCGCTCCTTCACGGCGGAGAGAGCAGGGTCTGACCGCGTACTTCGAGGCCTGAACGCTCCACCAGCGCGCCAAACAGGCGTCCGCAGTTGGTGGCAGTCCAAAAAAATTGCACCGCAAGGAGGCGCATGTCGAAGCATGACGGCGGTGAAGCGTGCAACTGACGGTCAGTAATGTCGACGGACTCTTCCACGTGCCGTCGCAATCCGCTCTGGGCGATGGGCAACGCGATAACATCGCAAAAGAAACTAGACGCTCCTTGCACTTGCCACGAGCACAGCGTCAGCAAACCCTTGGGCGGCATCGGCGGCGCCCCGCGCGACAATTCGCCCCGATAGGGTACCAGCTGCATGTTTGAAAAGAATATTTGGCCATCAACCCAGGGACAATTCCAGAAACTAGGCGACCTGAAAATCAAAATGGCCCGCATCTGCGCCGGCGGTCTGGCGAAGGAGGCCCACTTGAGCACGGGCCTGTCTGCGGGCGAGCTGGCGCCCCGCAGCCAGGATGCAACGCGGCCGTCGGCGAATCGCCGCCTTCGCTCTCGCCAGCCCTACCCGACAGCGCGTCGTCGAGGTCCCGACCCGTCTCTTAGTGGCCATCCGCTGACCGAGACAGAGACGCCAGCGCCATCGCGCAGATCCTCTTCACCTCCACGTTCAGGACGTGGGACGATGACCGTCCCTTTGTAGCACCACCGGCGCCCACCTGGCAGCCAATGAGATGCAGATGCCGCGTGCATTGGCAAACCCAATGCATTGGCAGATGTCGCAACTGCCACTGAGATCTCCTCGAAGTCAATGACGCGAGACCTTCTTGACCATGTCCAGGACGCCGCCGCGCGCCATGTCCACCTCGCCGCCGATGGACGGCGTGGCCAGGCAGGTGGGCCCATCACCTCGTCGACGTCGAGACATGCGCCAGACCCCAGAGGCTCCGCCCGTCTCGCCAGCTCCTCGATCAGCGCCGCGCTGGAGTCCTGCGAGGCCTGAGGCCCCTTAGGATTAGTCTATCGAGCTGGCGCGCCATCTAGGGCATCGGCTCGAAGTGATGCACGAGGGCCGCGGCCAGGACGCTGCCCCTGACGCGGGCTGCCTCCCACTCGCATCGCGTCGCCGTCGGCCGCCGAAGCCGCCGCCCGCAGCGCGCGTCTCCGCGAGCATCGGCACCTCCGTCAAGCACTGGCCGAAGACCGCCCAATGCGCCAGGGCCCAGGCCACCGCTCCGCGCTGGAAGGAGTTGCCCAAGAGCGCGCATCGGCACTGCTCCAATGGGAGCTGCTCCTTTCTAGCCCGAGTCGGGCGGGCGCGCCGTGGCTGCGTGTCGCGGCGGGAAATCCAGCGGCAGCTCTCTCTCCATCGAGCCAGCGACCCCAGGCTCGCCCCGGGCGCCGACCAAGCAGTTCTCGGTCTTGAACTGGCAGGGCGGGTAGCAGTAAGGATGCATCCGCCATCGCTCCAGGGCCACCGCGCCGCATCCGCGTAGCCCCGAGGGCGCTGAACTAACCGCGCGCCGTTGCGCGCAACGCGGAAACGCGGGGAAACGCTCCCCAGCGCTGCGGCCAGCGGGCCATGAACGACCTGCCCGCAGCCGACGATCATGAGATCCAGGACCTTCCTGCAACTGGATGCGCGCGACACCCGTCTCGGGGGTCTCCACGCCACCCTGTCGCGGCGCCATGTGCAGCCGGTCGGCCCAGCGCGCCCGGCCCCTCGAGCAATGCGTGATTGGGCCGCCCTCTATCCACGCGGGGGCCGGGCCGAGCTCCCGCGACATGGCGCCCGAGCTCACCTGGCTCATCGAAGGCATAAGGTGGCCCAGTCCACCTGGCCATAGGGGCTCGTGCCCGCAGGCGGCCGATCGCGTCGGGGGCGATGGGGGCCACGTCGCCCAGCTCCACCACATCTGGCCGCGCGAAGCGGACACCTCGCTGAGAGAAAGGCAACCGACAGGCCCAGGAGATCATGCGCCCTGCGACTGCCGCCGACGCATCGAACGACGAGGTGAAGATGCCCTCGCCATTCGGCCTGCTGGTCGCCCGCGAGAGGGGCACCTGAGCTGCCGCCGCGCCGCGGGGCAGCAGGCGCGCAAACCGGCGCGCTGCTCCGCGCCAGGGGCTCGCACCCAAAGCGATCATCAAGCCACTCGCGGGCAACCGCAAGTTGCAGCGCATGGCATGGAACCGAACTTTACGCGCCGATAATTTTTCTGGTCCCGCACTGAGATTCGCGCAGGAAAACGGACTCTGGTGCATACGGCATCCTGGTGTATACATTTTTTGTTGTTTCCACGACCACACCACCCCGGCGTCGTCCCCGACCCTCAGAACGTCCGAACTTCCTGAGATTGACCAACAGCCCGCCACTGGTAATGTACATGCTCCAGTTTCCGACATGAGCAGGAGCAGAGGGCACTCGCCAGTTCGGCCCGCGCGGCGTCGGGTAAACCCATCTGCCCGCGCCGCCTGACCATGAACTTCCACTATTGGCTGAAGCCCGTCATGGCATCGCGGCGGCGCCCCACCAACCTCGCCCAGCGTCCCTCGAACATCGGCAACCACTTCAGCGCGATCCGCGGCTTCTCCAGGGTGACAAGCGCGGAGCCAATCGTCGGCGCAAATCTGACGGGCGCCCTACGGCACCAGATTCGCCGTGAGTCTGGTCGCCTGGCGCCGCCGTCTCAGCGGCCTGCGACGCGGACTTGTTCGCGCCCCAGGGGCGCCGCGGTGCTCGTAGCGCTGCGGCGCGTGAGTCATCGCCTCGGACCGCCCCTGCAAGCGTAGGTTGCCAATGTAGACCTGCCACGCAGCCCGGCTAGCATTCTCAGTTGGAAGGGCGAAAGACAGGCGCCTCAACCGGTCAGCAAACCTGGTCGCACAGCTCCTGAATCTTCTCAGCATGGCAGGCTTGTCCTGCCTCGCCATGGCCCTTGGTGCAGGGGCCCATGGGCACCCGCCGAAGTGTGCACGAGCGTAGCCTCAAGTGGAACACCGCCCCGCCTGCGCCGGCCGTGGTGTGCGCGAACGCGGCCTCCACGAGCATCCCGGCAGCGCCAGCACGCCCGCACGCTCGCCACGGCGAGGCCCGCAGGAGACCCGCCGCCGTCGAACACCACGACCTCGAGCTCGCTGCCCTGCACACACGCCCAGGGTGCCCAGGAGCTGGGGCGAGCATGATCCGCAGATCCACTGGTCGAAGGGGGGCTCCTCCTGCGCGCGCGCGCGCCAGGGCCAGCGGGAGGGCCTGGGGTCAGGAGGCCGCCACGGGCGCCGCCAACACTGAGGCCCTGCCGCGGCGGGGCCGCCGTCCATCCACGGCATGCCTCCCCCGATCGGCACCGCAGCACCTGGGGGGAGCCTCCTCCTGTCTGGGCCGCACCGGGGACGCCAGCAGGCGGGCCCGCGAAGGCGAGCGGCGGAGCGGCAAGCGGGAAGCCTGGGGGGGCGCCGGGGGGGCACCGCCTCCGCCACCGCGGCCGCGCCCGACAGGGCCGCCCGTGCCGTCCATGCCGGGCCCGGGGCCGCCCACCCCGCCCTTCTTGGCAGGGGGCCTCATGCCAGCCTTGGCGGCCTTGGCCCAGCTCGCAGCCGCCGCCTTTAGGCCTTCCTGGGCACGGCCAGGCCGGGCGAGGCGACGCCAGGCGGCGCGGCGGGCACCATGCCGCCGAGGCCTCCAGGGAGCCCCGCGGCGAAGCCACCGCCGGGCCCTGGCAGGCCTCCTCCGTTGCAGGCCCTCCTGCCGCGGCTGCGGCACCTCCTCCATGGAGGGCTGCAGCTCCCGGCACCGAGCCAGCAGCGCTCAGCATGCGCAGAGCCGCTCCCGGCGCTGCCGCCGCGGTCAGGGAGCCGCGCCGGCCAGGGGGCCACGGCCAGGAGGAGCCTGTCTCCTCTGTCGTACCGCTTTGCTTGGAAGTGGAAGGGCAAAGACAGGACGGACCTCGCGAGGCAGGTCGATCCTCTGAACCAAAACCTCATGGACGAGGCACGGGAACCATGAGAGCAATCGGTGGAGATGGGTAATGCAACACACGGGGACCGCTGATTCATTAGGGGAACAAAAAAGGCATAAACATAACAACTCGGAGATCCGCGCGGATTTCTCGGATCGGCGCTGGGGCCCCCTGGCGGCGCTTCCGGCGCCGCCCCTGGCGCGCTCCGCGCGCCAGGGAGGGGCGCCCAGCGCCGATCCGAGACATCCGCGCGGACCTCCGAGTTTTATGTCTATGCCACTTCTTGTTCCCCCAATTCATGCCCTCCTTCTTTTTCCCCCAATTTTCGGGGATGGACAGACCTCCCTTGAGTAAAACGTGGTTAGTGAAAACGACCTGAGGCCCAGGCCTGGCGGGCGCAGGCCTGGACAAGAACGGCCGCGGCGCCCTCTCGAGAACCGAGAAGGGACAGCTCGCAAATCGACGTGCCACTGCTGGGGGTCCTGTCCACCCCCGACCTTTTTTTGGACGTGGGAACGAACCTCCTCCTCCTCCTCCTCCTCCTCCTCCTCCTCCTCCTCTTCATTTTCCTCCTCCTCCTCCTCTTCCTCTTCCTCCTCCTCTTTCTCTTCCTCCTCCTCCTCCTCCTCCTCCTCCTCCTCCTCCTCCTCCTCCTCCTCCTTGGGCAGCAACGAGGCCGCACGAGGACCCAAGCCCAGGCGGACGAGCGAGGGCCAGCCGAGCACCGCCTGTCCGCTCCCCAGCCCCGGCGGCGTGGCCAGGTCCCCACGGGCCGACGTACCCCCCCTGGGTGGGGAATGCAGGCCGTTGGGGGGCCACATGCGAACCCGACCCCTACCCCCCACGATTTTTGAGGAGGAGGGTGGAGGTTCCCTTCGCTCGGGGGCTCCCGAGCGAAGTGAACCCACTTCTCCCCCTGAGAGATCGTGGCAGGCAGGGGCAGGGCTCGCAAGTGGCGCCCTGGCCGTTCCCTCCGGGTTTCGAGGGGCGCATCCCCGACTGGCGGGCACTTTGCTGGGGCTCTCGAGGGGGATGGGGATGGGGATAGGGGATGGGGATGAGCATCGATGAAACGATACCGATCGGTGGAAGGACGCCACGGCGGAAAGGCGGCGACCGAGCGAAGCACCCGGGCCCGTAAGCTCCTGCCGGAGCTCCCGCACCTCCAGCTGGAGGCCCTCCAGCTGCATGGGGGCCCTGGGCGCGCCCCCCTCGCGGCGGGTCCTTCGAGCTCGGCGTGCTCGCGTCGTGGAAAAAAAAACGGCAAAGTTCGGCCGGGGGCCCTCGCTGGGACCCCGGACGCCAGAAACTGCTCGGAACGAGGAGCCGGCGCCAGGGAAAGGGTCGGGACTTCTGGGGACCTCACAAAAAACAGGAGCTCGACCACGAGAAACCCTCCACGAGAAACCCACCCCCGAGACCCCGGGACGTGCATGAGATTTTGGTGCTGTAACGTCACGCTTTCCATCGCCAAGCCACCGAAACCCAAGAAGCCCACGCTTTCCATAGCAAAGCCATCGAAACCCAAGAAACCTAGGAGGCAAGCTATTGTTTGACTGTCTTGGAATGTTCCTCCTGTAGAGGGGCAGGCCCGACTTAAATGCAGCCTGCATCGATCGGCGACTCTGAAGGGTGTGGTTTGCGGAGGGGTGTGATTTGCAGTCCGCACCCTGGGGGGCGGGCGAGGACCTCGACAGAGTTCTCTTCGCGCCACGCCGCGAGGCGGCCTATCGAGGGCGACGTGGTGCCCCGCGAGCCCGAAGCCACACACCCCGTCATCGCCGAGTCGAGGCAAGAACGCAGGTCCC